TGTTTTATAGCTCTGTCCAGTCTTTCATTATAGATGTTTTAAAACTGTTCGGACCTAAGCAAGTCAGCGTGCAAATTCTAAATTGTTTCAGAGGTAGAGGATTTTAAAATTTCCATATTTGTAGAAAGAATTATATTTAATAAAACGAAGAAAGTTTCCAGATCGAAAACATATTAGATCCTCTCGTTAAAGATTTCGCTGATAAAGTGATTTCAAATCTGAACAAATTCATGCACACACGAGGGAAAACATCGCCAGGTGATTCTTCGTCAAAATGTTCCCTTCGCGAATTTATCAGAACACTACCGAAGGAAAAAGAAAAAGGAATGAAAAACCTTCATAGTTTTATACTTAATTTGAATGAGAAGCTCGGTAATCTAGCTAATCAATGATCGCTTTTGGCTGAATAAGGAACTACTTACCTGATATTGGAGTATTTCGAATTCTATGCTGGTCTTGTAACGCGGATAAACAGGAAGATTAAGCAGTTTGCTTTTCTTTGATTTTTGTCTCTACTGTTTGTTGGTTATTAGAGTGCTCATACAAAACAAGAGGATGAAACAGTCGGTTCTCGCAGCTGACTATTATGTGTGTGTAGATAGTGGATTCTTTTGATTGAAAATTTGCTTTTGATTGCTAATTTGATCAAAGGTAATTTGAATGTTACTCAGCACCCCTGACCAAATGTAAGTTGCTGTTTTGAAATTCTTAAAACATCGCCAGGTGTTTTGACATCGTCAATTATTCTTTTCGTGAGTAGTACCACACACACAACCAAAAAAAACCTTTTTTTAGTCTCTAATTAAATTGGTGAAAAGTTATCTTGAGTAATCTGTATAATCAAGCTATCGTTTTTGACACGGGAACTACGTACCTGATATAAGAATGACTTAAACTCCATGCTGGTGCTGTAGCCGCTTCAGTTTTATCAGAATACGCTGTAAGATTAAACCGTTCTCGCCTCCGCCTATTGCGTATGTCTCAAATGTGACTAATTAAGTTAGATGCCCTTGATTGGACGATTCAGTTCTTTGTGAAAACTTGAAAGTGGAATCATGGGTAATTTGAATGTTACCTACAGTAAAGTTTCATTTGTTTATTGCCATATTGATCAATTATTAAGAGTGTTTCGAAGGCGTTTTGCACCTTTAGCAATAATCTAACCACAGCTTAAAACGGAGGAAAATTGATTGAAACATGTTAATGAAACTATATTATAGTATCAAACGCTACATTTCCAACATTCATTTCGCGCGTGGCACGGGAACATTGAGGGTATGGAAGGGTAAAGGTGTTGACGCCTGACTGGCGCTTTCTCGTTCCAATCACCCTCCGTGTTATCATGCCGCACTTGCCGACTTAACGCATTGTGAAGACCACCGGGAACGACTCTGCGATCACAAGTTTAGCAATTTTTATAAACTTCTCTCTTGTGGTATGGGTCCCATTTAAGAAACGCGCCGGTAATTTGTAAAATTATCTCCATTGCCAAGGATAAAAGGATACGCCCGGGTAACATTTTTTCCTTTGTGTGTGCAACACACATCTATATGAGAATACGACGCAGATGAGACAAAAATACGATAGTGTTCTTCTCTAATTATTTAATTATCTCCAAAAGTGTACACTTGTACTCCAAAAAAGATTTTTGTATGGTTTGGTCGGGTAGCCACGTTATTTGTCATCAGAGTACGTCTAAGAACAGGAAGCCTAAACAGTTCTTGCAAGTGTAAAACATGTAGCTGGTTTAACTAATGTGTTGCTGTTTGCATACATATTATGTAAATAGATTTGTGGGTATTTTCATTATAAATGTTAGCTTAACAAGCTTAACTCGG